ATTGATTCTTCATCCTCTTTCATTTTTTTCCAATCAATAACAGGAGTATCTCTCCTTTTAGCTACACCATGAATGTGAGAGCTTCTATAGTACTGCTACTTGTAATGGAACTACCAATCCTCAAGATTCCATTTAAGAATCAGTACTTTTTCAAAAAATAGTTCGAAGCGTCTTTCTAAAAATCAAGTGGTAATATAAGGATTGTCAATTATAGTGAAGTGATCCAGAAAATTCATAATTATAGGTGGATATCCATTGGCTAAAAAGATCATCCAGATACCTATTATATATTTGGCAAAAATCAAATAAATGATTCACAGATAATTTATCAAATATTCATGAATGATCTGCAAGTCACATAAATAGTATATAATTCATGAATATTCGCAAATTCGCGTTTTTTATAAATAAAAATTCTAAATATTTTATGAACAATAATATTTTATTTTATTATTTGAGTTTATAACATATGATCTAAATATAAAATATTATTATAACTATCATAATAAAAGCAAAAACTATTGAAAAAATTAATTTGTAGGATTAGGGTGAATATTTTTAACAAGATATGCATTTTTTTTTAAAAACATAAGTCTATTGAATAATTTTGGATTCAGTCGTATTCTTTTAGCAGTTAATAAATTTCCTGCATTGCTAAATAACCTTTCACTTAAAGTAGATATTGTTAGAATAGGAAGGTAAATTCAGGTTAATTTTGAAAGAATTGGAAGTCGTTCCTTATTATCATACCACCAAATAAAAGGATCATAGTTGAGACTTATTTCAGGCAAAGATAAGTACATAGTTATCTCATTATTATGTTATAATAAACGTCATTCAAAAATCAAAAATATGGATAGTTCTGATATTGTTGTTATAATAGTAGTATTATTAGTTGATGAAGTATTGATTTTAAGTTCATTATATTTATTTTCCAATAATTCTTTTGTTTTGTTGCGAATTTCTTTATCAATAAATTCAAGAGATTTAATTTGAGAATCAAGTAATGCTGAAATAAGAGTCTTACTTTTTTCATTATTCCAATATAATTCCATTGCATTATATAAATTAACCATTACTTTTTCTAACATTCCAGTAGTTACTAGTGAATTATTTAAATTTAATTTTTTTCTTGATGCTTGAGATATGTTATCTTCATGTTCTATTCATTCTTCTCTATATTCTTCATATTCTTTATGTTCTCCTTCTTCTCCTTCATCTCCTTCAAAAACATCAGCAATTTTTTTTATATTATTCATATTATTACAATTATTTTTGTTTGTTGATTTTATAAGATTTTTTATTTCTTTGAACTCATAATACTATGAGTTACATATTTACTTGCTCCTAAGTAATCTGTAGCATCAGCAAATCCTTTTAAAATTTGACATAAATCACTTAATAATTCCCATTCATTTTTAGTTAACATAATTTCAATCAGACATTGACCATCTTTTTTTGAATCATAATCATTAGCAAGAGGTAGTGTTATTACTAAAATATCAATATATAGTTTAATTTCTAACAACTTTTTCCATGCTAAATAACTAGAGTTCCATTGTGTTGCAACATCAGCAATGCAATGACGTAGATATGTACTTGTTTTACTAGGTTTCTAAAAAAAATTTTTATAAATATAATAATAAAATAAATAATATATATTTTTAATATTTTTAGTTATTACTTACTATTTTATTTTCTATTTGAATAGAAAATATTTGAATATTTTCCAATCTTTCTGACTGTTTAGGTCGCATAAAAAAATCAATAAGTCTTTTTGCTCTTAACACAAGTAGTTTTACACATGCAAGTTCTTTTCCAACAACTAACTGTAAGGTATAAGCAGTACAAGGCTGCCAGGTTATATTTTTAGAGATTATATTCATATCTTTTATCGCCTTTTTCATGTTTGGATCATTATCTATTATAATTGCATTGACTTTTTCTCTTAACATCCATAGATCTAATATTTCAAGTAAAGTATCACTAATATGTACTGCATTATGTGGATAACGAATATTTGAAATAGTAAGAACAAGTTCATATAATTTAAAATCTTCATCCAGAAAGCAATATATAACTCCAATATATCCTTGACGATTTTGAGAAGTCTAAAGGTCAGTAGTTAAATTGATTAAAATAGCATGTTTTTCAATATATTCAACAATTAAGAGATATGTATGATTATATGCTTTATAAATAATCTGTTTTACCAATTTGACATCAGGCATTACAAATGCAGGATCTAGATTATGTAGAAATTTTTGAAACATTTTACTTTGAACAAATTTAAATGAAATTGAATCAGCAATAATCCAATCAACAAGTGATTGCCTTAACTCTTTTTGCTTAGCTTCTTTATGTGTTTTTACTGTATTGGTAATAGTAATTTGAACCTTTTTTTAAAAATTAAAATGTTAATTATAATGATTTTTAATAATAACAGAAAAATAAATATACTAAACATACAAGTTTTCCTTCTATTTTTGTATTTTTGGTAATTTGATGAGTTCCCGCAAGATGTGAAATGAGATTGCTTATTAAATTTCCACTTAAATAAAGCCGTCTACATAACTTTTTATCTGTTATTTTAACTACACATTCAGCACCAGTTTTTCTATTATCAAGTAATACTGGATCACACCATTTCCATACCCAACTTTTAAGTTTGTCAGTTTTATCAAGTGTTTTTAATTTTTTAACACTATTTCCTGTTTCATGATTTTTAGAACGTTTGTTTGAGAGTTTATCAGAAGGTTTAGTTAGATTATTAACTTCTCTTTCATTATTTTGATCACTTAAAGGTGAGAGTGAAATAGTTTCTTCAGCCATTATTATATTTTTAATTTTTAATATGAGAGAAACGGAATAATGCAATAAAGGATTAAAATGTGACTTTAACTCTCATAGTAAATCACACGATCATATGATGCTAGATATTTCTAGTTTTAGTATGTAAATTTATTTTATAATATGAATATTATTTATTAATATAATCTATTGATATAGCAGTTATACAATATAATATTTTGATCTTTTAATATAGTAATAAACTAATAAACTTATTTACATTAATTAGGAAAAGGATCCCAGTAATTATATATATATATTATAATATTTAATATTAAAACATAATATTTATAATACATTATTGTAATGTAATAATATATCATAATATCTTATCACAACTCTATAAATAGAATTTTTTTGTAAACAATGCAATGTTATTATTTACGCGATTCTAAATTAATTTATGTGATATAAAACTATATAAAGAATGAATATCCGACGGATGGGAGGGAGGGTAAAATAAGATTTTTTTTAAAAAAATATATTTTGCCGTTACATTTTTTGTATCAAATAATCGATTTTGTATCATTTGAACTTAATAATTTTTTTAAAAATTTTATTACTTTAACGAATTATTTATTAATATATAAATATTCACGGATATTCATCAAATAATCCACAGATATTTGCATAAATTTGTAATATATAAAAATGATCTGTCTATCCGGATATTTATGTTATCTGTGCAGATTATAATTCATGGATCACTTCTCTAGTCAATTAAGTCTTAGCATCTGTAAGTGATCGCTTTCTGCTCAGATAATGTACTTGGAGAATTTCTATGTGGCATAAGCCTATATAGATTAGGTCAATCGAAATCAGCAGCGCTAAAGATAAAAAATAGCATACTATTCGTTCTTAATTAATTAATCATATTTTTCAATTTTAATCGATGTCTATTCCAAAACTGACGAGAACCGCACAAACCTTTTCCAAATCGTACAATTTTATTCGCCATATGATTATCATTCTTAAGCATTTTCTGTAAATCTTCAACGGTACACTGACCGTCATTTAAACTCTGCTTTACATACACTTTTCCCTCTTTCAGGGCCCTCTAACGCATTTGTGAGTTTAAAGCAAAGTAGCACCAACAAGTATAACGAGCGAATCAGCCATCTTTGTACTTGAGTAAGTGTGAAAAATACTCAGCCAGTTTTATATCTCTAGCGCGTTCCAAACGAAAATTAGTAACTCCAGTAGAGTATAAGTTAGAAATGCACGAATAATATATCTGAAAGTTTAGAAATTATTTACCAGAACTCCATCTATATTGGGCCATAGGGTCAGTTCAGTTTCAGCTTGTAATCGAGTAAGTGTATCAGTAATAGCAGTATTTTCTTTAGGGGTAAGAAAGGAAATGGAAACAAAATTATTAACCATTGAATCATCGAAGTTATCTGCGTTATTAGAGATTTCATCACTTATATCTTCAAATTGAGGAATCTGATCATCAAGAGAGCCATTATCATATAAAGCTCTCAAAACTTCTTTATCAATAACGATATTAGAATAGTAATGATTATTATGCTTCAACCAGTGAAAAGCACAAGATATCATAGAACAACGTACGTTAAAATCTTTAAATGCTTTACCATCAGAAGAATGATAATATACAATAAGAATTTCAAGTGATGATAGATGATGAGGTAGACGTGTAGCAAATTCCTGAACGTCTTGAGGAAAATTAATCACGTTATTCTGATACGCGTATTGGCTACTACTCAGATAATATACAGAGACGATGTAAAATATCTGGGTAATGAGCATCTCTTCTATTTGAGTAAGACCTTGTAGTTCCTCAGGTATATTGCCTGGATCTATATTATTTCTCGATGAGAACTTTTTCAATTCAGGATTTAATTTAAGTCTTTTCAACTCTTTAATTTCTGAGTGGCAGCGACGACATTCATCACATACAAATTTGATTAATGAAAAACATTTATTGTATACAATACAAAGATTATTAGCGAACTTATCAATTTTAAAGTGAAATTTATGGAGTAAGTTTAGGTTAGAATCGGGAAGATAATGGTCATCAATGATATGATGCGAAGCATTTGACTAGTCATTTATAATATAGAGTGAAGCATTATACTGGTTTTTTTTGCAATTATTGCGATTAATAGAACATCTTTCATAGTTCTTACTTAAACAGATTTTTCATTGTTCAGCATTTTCATTCGACCTTTTAATACGTTTTCTTTCTCTATCGCGTTTTTGACAAAGGTTGCATTATTCAGAAGTCTCAATTTTTCTTTCTTTACATTTCGAAGAGTATCACAAAGAGGGCGTTCATCCATTTCACAGATATTATATATGGTGAACAGATACAAAATTTAATGAAGCAAAGTAAAAAAAAATAATAAAACTTAAAAGACAAAAAGCTATATTATTGTATAATTCTATCGATTAATATAAAATACAAATAACAACTTTATTTTTATTTAGCTTGCAACAGTATTTATTTTTTAATTTTTAAGCTTAATATATTTAATGATAAAAAGAAGATGATAAATAAATAACGTGACACAGAGTAGTTGTAAAAAAGGATTTAGTCATACGAATAACAAAATAAAAAAGGTATAAAACATGATATTATAACAATACATATTATTGGTGAATCACGCGTGCGAACAGACATTACATGCATATGTATATATAAAAGCAGGTCTAACTGTATATGTCTTTCAGCTAAAGCTTCAAACAAATAATATAAAATATTAAATTATATTGATCATTTCCTAAATAGTATATTAATCATAATGATTATTTTCAAATTCTATTTTTATATTTCTATGTAAAAATTTAATTGCTATTTATTCATTTTAATAAATAATAAAGAGATTCCTGAAAAATAGTTCTTAGCATATTAAATAATTAATGATATTAATCTGACTATCTATAATCAACTTACTTCACTTCTATTTACAGATAAGTGGTATAGAATAATTGATTACCTGCTGAATGATAAAGCTTTTGAACCTTCATTAATCTCTAATGAAATGCTCAAACACCTAGATCTTAATGTTAAGAAATACTTATGGCTAATTATCTGTAAATACCTTCAACTTTCATTCATTTCTATAAAATAAAATTTAGCTTATATATACCTGATCTTCAAGCCAAAGCTATAGGAGTTCAATCTTAATAATACTAAATTGATAATACTCTTAAAATGCTTAAAAAAAGTCTTTATCAAGTTATTCAATGTTAGATTAACCTCTATATTTATTTAGCACAATATTTTGAAAGAATCAAATTTTACTGATCTTTCCTTTAAATTCATTTTCAATTCCATTCATATTCTAGATAATATTAAACAAGATGCTATTTCTAATAAGTCTATTCTGTGAATTCTTCTTTAAGATATATTTAAGATATATGATCGAATCAATGTATTCATTCTGATCAAGTTTATAAAAAGACTCAAAATTTTATTTAATTTTATTCATATTATTATGAGAATCTTTCTCTCAAGATTCAACCAAATATTTATATCTTATGGTAATACTGATCCAATACCTTGTTTTTTCTAGAATTAATCAAAAAAAAGTTATTACACTCTTATTATAGTACATTTACTATAATTCTTTACTTTGCAAAGTTTAAAACTCATAATATAATTATACTATGAAATATTCTTGATAACCTGATGTCTGTTTATCCAATACTAACTCTCTCATAAAAAGGATACCTACTTTAACATTTATAGATGATACACTCTGGATTATTAAATCTGTAAAAGATTTATCCTTCATTATCCACATAGCCAATAGTTTCTATACCTTCAATAACATACAAGTTAATTAGTCTAAATCTGAACTTTTAGTCAATAAAGTCTAAAGTGATCCTTTTAACATCAACTATAACAATATTGATAATCAAATTATAGCACATAAACCAAAAGAAAGTATCAGATATCTGAGAATCTGGATTTCATTAAAGATAATAAAATGTTTATCATTAATCAGATCCATGAAGAGATCAAATTAGCAGTCATAATTATGTAAAAGAAACAGTTAACAGACACATAATTGACATACATTTTTAATACTATTGTTCTTCTACAAATTTAATACAGATTACTATTCACATTATCCTTAGAATAATAATACTCCTAAATTATTGTTATCTATATAACCTTCATTCGTAAGAAATTGTGTTTTTCCAGAAAAATATCCTCCTTCTTATTTCTCTCATATTATTTTTATAATATCACTCCTATTTACCAACGGTTCATATAAAACTTTAGCAATATTCTTTTACAAATGGCTAATGAATTTAACTTATTATATATTACTTTTAATATCTGTATAAATCATTTACAGAATAAGGAATGGTTATACAAATGTTCTTTATTTTATTAGCCTTATAATACTAACTATTTAAAGATAATTAACTTCTATCTTTATTTAATGCTCTTAAAAAACTTTATATAATAATTAATATTTTTTCTGCTAAGTTATATATAATCACAGAAGAAAATATTTATTATAGACATTATTAAATTGATTAACAGGACACATGTCAATGACCTTAAAAAATGCTCAATCCTTTTTGTCAAATAACTAGTCAACTATTATGACACTTACATATTTTCCTATAAAGATCTTTTTCAAATAATATATCAAAATATAAGATTTGCTCGAATAATAAAATGGTTCACTATTATGAAACAATATTTATAATCTTCTTCAGAAAAATTCATCTTAAGATTATTTTTTCATAACTAATTTTATGAATATAATTTACATTAATAAAATCTTATCCTTAGTAATATATCATATACAGTAAGATAGAATAATATCATCAATTATTTTGTTCTTAAAAAAGTAACTCAAATCGAACATAATAATATATATAAAACACCATATTTATTAAAGAGGTTCTGATTATAATAATAAATTAATTTCTTGTTCTCAATATTCTCTTCTTTCTATTAAGAGTTAGCTGCTGATTTAGATAAATTTAATTGCTACTTTACTATTTTTCGTAAATACTGTGCAGCTTTTTCTAACAATTATTATTCAAAATACAATTCTTTAACTTTATCAATTAACACACTAAATGAACTTGCTCTTACCTATATTATCTTTATATCACAATCATAATTCTTATATATATCTTACCCTGCTACTCCTCTATTATATAATTCATTTATAGATAGGTTTATTTTCTCCTCTATATAACTAAATTACTAATTCTATCTTCATATTTTTTTTATCTACTGAATTAGAATTTTATATTGATAATTTCTTATAAAATGTCAGCCTTTCTTCAGTTTAAATAGGACTTACTTAACTATAAACGCATTCAAATTCACCATTAGTTTCCTTTAATACATCTTTCTCTATTAGTTTTTCATCTTCTTCATTATCAGAATTTGCAGTTTTCTTTACTACCCTTTTGACTGCCTCTAAAAATTGTAAAGTCACAGTTTATACTGACTTTGCAGTCATAATATTATAATTCAATAAATACAACTTCCTTTTGAAATAATCTTCATATTTTAGACCCTTTTAAAAATTAACAAATTTGTGTATTATTCATATTTTTTTAAACTAATTATAGCCAATAATTTTATTATTACATTAATTAAAGTCAAAGTACACTTAGATGATTTCTTTAACAATAAAGTTGACAAACTTACTAAAGAGGCTTTAGTATCTCCTACTCTATAATTTAATACTGTAGCTGCTTTCAAATGTTTTTTTCACTTATGACAGATTTCCTAATTTGACAATTTATCAAAGATATGTAACATCACAGATACTTACAATAATTCGTTAATTTTTATGTTATTTCTAAATACTAATATATCTTTTAACCTTACTGGTTTGCTATATTATTCTGTCTAAATAATAATGTTACTTCTAACTATACAATCTACATAATCTTAACAATTAGAAAAAGAAATATCAACAATTACTAAAAATATTACTTACCATTGAGATTCTTAAAGTTAGATATTCTTTCTTGTTTTTTCCTTAACTCTTTATCTTAGATGTGATGCTGCAGATAAGACTTTTATCATATTTAACTTTATCATATAATTAATTATAATTGAAATTGCTTATCTAGTGTGTAAAAAATTTTCTCCAATTCATTATCAATGCATAAACTATTGATATTAATAGTCTTAATTAGTAAATACTATCAAATACTACTTTTTTTCTAATTCTTGTTAAAGGTATTGCTCCCAAAAATCTCTTTAATTTTATCTACTACTCAATTTCTCATATGCTCATAATCTTAGCTATATATTCCTTTTTAATGCATTTTATTTTTGAAAAAACTCACAAATTTTGAATCGAAAGATGTATTATTCAATCTAATTTCAAAAAGCTACTAATATTAACATTGATCAGAAAAATGAGAACTTTGTGTTTTTTGGTTTTGATCTTCTAAATATTATTCTCATTAACAACAGTAATTTTGATCTGATTTCTACTATAATACAATTTGGATTCTATTAAATGAATTTTAGTATAATACTGACCAAGCCTTTTTCTACTCTTTTTATTCTTTTTACTCAAAAATAATAGTTTTAGCTTAGGTCAGAATTGATTCAAAATAATGCAGAGTCAGTCTTCTTTAGATTAATTTTTCTTTTCTTTATGAGATTTTTATTTTTTCTTTTTGATTTGTAATTTTATTTTTATAATTTTGCTTTTATCATAATCACATTTTAAAAAAATAATTTATTTATTTTAATATTAAGTTAAAATATTTTAAAATTTAACCAGTTAAAGTTATTATTGCATAGATTAATATAAAACAAAAATTTCAATTTTAATGAAAAGATTTTAGAATCCCTTTTTTTCTAGCAAACCTCTCATATTAAGTAAATAAATATAATTATAAAAATAGTACTTTTTATTAATTTATAATTTTTTTACTTTTATATATTTATTTGTAAAATTTATTTATTAATGCTAAATTATATAAATAAAAATAAATATATTTAATTTATAATTTTAAAAAAAATTAATTATTATTATAATACTTAATTTATTTAAAAATTTTAAATACTTAAAAATTTATTAAATAAAAAATTTTATTAATAAATTATAAGATTTAAAATTAAAAAAATCAAAAAATTAAAAATTATATATTTTCTTTATAATTTTTGAAATTTAATAAATCTAATTATTTTATATTTTAATAATTTTTTATAAAAAAAAATTTTATAAAAATTATTTATTATTTTATATCAATTATATTTAATCATAATTTAATAATATATTTTAGTTTTTAAAAAATAAGAATATATTATAAATCTATAATTTATATAATATCAATTTAAAATATATTTATTAATAAAAATAATTTTAAAAAAAATATATCTATTTTTTTTTTATTAATAATAATAGTAATAATAAAATTATTTATTTATTTTTAATTTTTAAATTATTATAAAATTATTTTTATAAATATTATTCTAAATTTCTAAAATTTATTATAAATTAAATAATAATTTAATTTTTATAAATTTTCATTTTTAAAGTATATCTTTTTTTAATCATCTTATATTGCTATTTTTTTTTGTATTTTATCTTTAAAAATTTATTAAGATAAATATTTAATAATTAAATAAGTGATTTAAAATTATTTAATATATTAACTAATTAACATTATTTAGTGATATTTTTTACATATACTTATTTTATATCTATTAATTATTAAAAAGAAAAACTTTTATCTAATTAATATGTTTTTTTTTATAAATTTTATAATTAAATTTCATTAAATATTCATTTATCTAACTATTCTTTCTATTATATTAAATAAAAAATTTTTAGGATTTTTTTTACTTTTTAAAATAATTATATATATAAGTTTTATTTTATAAAAATTATTAAAATATAAGTAAATTAATTCTTATTATTTTTAGTTTTTTATATATTATATTATTATATATACTGCATAATCTTAACATTAATAAGTATAATCATATTACAAAATTTTTAATATTTCTTCATATATAAACCAATATATGCAAAAAAGTTTTAAAAAGAAATATTTATACAATCACACCTCAATATAATGAAGTTGCCAATCCAGCTGATCAGGACTTCATTATAAAAATTTTCATTAACACTATAACAAATTATTTATTATAGTAGATGATTACTAATTTTATTACACAAATATAATTTTATTATAATATAATTTTTCAGAAATATTTTCACATTATTTTGTAAATTCTAGTCTTTTTATTTTAACATGCAATTTGTTAATCATTATATGACAGATTTATTAATTTACTTAAATTTTTTTTAAAAAAAAGAAATTTATTTTTTTAAAATAAAATAAAAATAAAATAAAATATAAAATAAAAGAAAAGAAAAGAAAAAATAAAAACAAAATGAAAAGAAAACTAAAACAAAATGAAAAAATAAAATTAAAAAATAAAACGAAACTATAAAATAAAATTAAGTAAATGAGATGAGATGAAAAATGAAATTAAACAAATGAAAAGAAACTATAAAATAAAATTAGAAAAATGAAATGAAATGAAAAAATGAAATTAAACAAACAAAAAGAAACTATCAAATGAAATTAAGAAAATGAAATGAAATGAAAAAATGAAATTAGGAAAATGAAATAAAACAGAAAAATGAAACGAAATAAAAAAATAAAAAAATAAAATAGAATTAAACATACAATATGAAAAGAAAAAATAAACAATAAGAAAAAAAACCAAAATTTTTATTGTCTTGCAGGTCTTGCAGGTATGTTACAATTTCACTATCTATTTCAGTTTTGCCTTACAGACTCATTACAGTTTTGTCTTGTATTTCATATTATCTTATAGTAAGCAAATTAAGATTTTTTCTACAAGTGTATCTTGATTCTAAAAAGTAAATATATTTAATATAAATTTAAAAAATTATTTAAACGTTTTTAATTATTACTTGGCCTATTCCAAAATCAAGTCCTGAAGAAGTTGTATAATTTTTCTATAGTATAAGTCTATCTTCCACCTTTTCTCGCTCTATTTCAATAATTATAAAAATCCTAAAAGATATTAATTATACTGTTAAGTTATAGTTATTATTATATTACTATTCATTTATTTACTTACATTGTAATCTCATACTAAATTCCTCCATTTTAACTCACATTAATGAGTTGAATATACTGTATTAAATGTTCGATTGATTCATCAAGCTACACTCTTTTAAAACCCTGTCTTATTATCTCTGTACCTTATATGATACTCTTCATTTCTCCTCCTTCTTTCTTGACTAATAAGTTAATTTCATTATCCTTCAAATGATTCTTGTAGTCCTTTTTGTGTTTGTAAAAAAAAAGCTTTCTATTCACTTTGATAAAAAACTTTTAGAATTTTAATGATATATTATTAAAAAATGAAAAAAGTTTGGATATGAACTTTTTGAGATCGAAAATATGGATGAAATTCCTATTTTTTTGATATAATTAGAAGTTTGACTATCAAAGAATGTGATGCAAAAACTGTTCAAATCTAAATAACTGAAAATGAGAAAAATCAGTTTACATGTGTTCTTAGAGTTTTTGTAGATGTACAAAACTGCTACTAATCATTATTTTTAAAGGTAAAAAAGTACTAAAAATTTACTCTAAAATTATTGTATTAATGCATTCAAAAGGATAGATAAATAAATCTGAAATGAAAATTTAGTTTGATAAAGTTTAAAAAAAAAGACCTAGAGGAAATAAAGTTAGTCAAAAAAAAGGGCTCTTCTTATTATAGATAGTTTTGAAAATCATAAAACAAATCTTATTAAAAATATTGCATTAAATGCAAATACTGATTTAGCAATTATCTCTGATGATCTTATCTCTATTATTCAATTGCTTGATATTTTTCTTAATAAGCTATTCAAAGATAAACTTCATAAAAAGTGAAATGCTTGGATGAATTCAGGTAAGTTTACTTATATTAAAGGTGAAAATTTAAAAAAATCTAATTATAGTATTATTTGTAAATAGATTCTTAAAACCTGAATAGAAATTTCAAGAGAAATGATTGTAAAATCATTTAAAAAATGTAGTATTAGTAATGTAATGGATAGGTTAGAAGATGATTTGTTTAAGTAAGATGAAACTGAAAAAGATGATAATAATGAAAGGGAAATATTAAATATAGATAGTGATTCAGCTAATGAATATTTAATTGATGAGTTTGATGAATAGATTTTTTAAAATAAATATGCATATTTTAGGT